CTAATGCAATAAGTTGCACACGCCTGTGGCTGTGTTAGTCATATATATAGTTTATACACTCCAGCATTTTATTTGTGCTTGCTGTGTGCTGTCCAGAATGGCTTTTCAACCTTCTTTTCACCCAAATCTGCAACATTACATTTAGTCACCATTCACCCTAGTGTAGCATGTGAAATATTCTGTGATATAGTGCACGTTCATGCAAATAAAGTGTTCGGGCTCCTGGTGTCATTCATTGCTAATAGCATGTATCTTGCAAGCAGAGTTCGGGCGATATGGGTGTATATGTGTAGTATGCAGAGAGCAGTTGATGGGTGTATCTGTGTAATATACAGAGAGCAGTAGATATGTAAATGTGTGTAATATGGAAAGTGCATTGGCAGTGTACATATGTGTGTGGTATACAGAGGGCAGCGAAAGTGTTTCTTTCTTTGTGTGTGTGTGTGTGTGTGTGTGTGTGTGTGTGTGTGTGGTGTGTGCAGTGGTTTGGCATCAAGCCAAGGGTTTGTTTAATCTAAGTATTTTAGTGTGTTTTTATTTTTGAGGAATGTTTTGGGGTGTTCTTTACATGCTGCAACTGGCTTATTGAATGGAGCCATGGGTCTTATGGCTTATAACTTTACCTACATGTGTTATGTTTTAGATACACCTGGAAACTCCTCTCCCTCTTCCCCTACTGCTTCAAGTTCTTAATTTTTTTATATAATCAAGGAAAGGCCCTCAAAGATCCTGGCACCCTTTATTTCTATGTAAGACCCCTACCCCAACCTATAGGTAATTACATTGCATAGACACTGGCCCAGCAGCTGTTTAATTAGAGCCAACAGATATCTTTGATTCCTTCATCTCCTGATTTCCAGTGCTGACAACATTCACCACTTGGTGTCACCCATCACTAACCTCACGAGCATGTTATTACCTTACAAACTAGCAAACAAAGTATGTTGTTGTAAACTAGTATTCTACTTAAAGGAAATCTAAACACATGAGTTATGCACCAAACACAGACTTCTGTTTCCTAAACACTTCAAGAAATTGTGCAATAATTTTTCATAAGAAATGTTTCAAATTTTTTTCTAATCAAAGTGCTTTTCCCGGCTCCAATACATTTTGGGACAGCTGAAATGGTTCTAGGAAATGTTGTCCCAGTGCGTGTGCCTCTAGACAAAGCGGTATACAATGATGTATGAACAGGGAGATTACTGGAGGAGCTTTAAAGGCTAATTAATACACAAATGAATCCTGCAACCACATGACAACTGACATTCATGGCCAAAATGTTCATCCAATACAGTTGTTAGTATTTAGAAATCTATCACATTCAGGAAAACAAAGGAACTTCTTATGGAAACAATTCTCTGACTCATGGACTACATACTACGGTAGTTTGGAGAGGCCAGGCTAAACCAATGTAGTGGATGGAGACTACTGCACCTGCAATTAGTGAAACTTTGGACAGATGATTGGTCAGAGAGTATTGATTCTGAGCAGTGAAAAACAGCATTTTATCAGACAGACTCTCTCTTTACTTGAGTAAGTGGCATGCTACTGAAGAGACTGCCACGTTAGATTCTGCCATGTTGTAGTTCCATATTAGAGAGCCTGCTTGGCAAGAAGCAGTGCCATGCTGAAGATGTTGCCATGGTATAGGCAATGCTGTGCTGTACAGAATGCTATATCAGACACATGCTGTGTTGGAGAGGCTTCTATGTTAACGACACTACCATATTGGACTGTAATCTTAGACACACCATTGTGTGAAAGAGACTGGTATGTTAGAAGCATTGTTTGAAACTTCTATATTAGACACACTGCCATGTTAAACAGATGCCTATCTTAGAGGTTCTGCCATGCTGGAGAAACTGCTATGTCAGTCTCACTGCCATGTGAGAGAGACTGCTTAGTTAGAAGCAGGGCCATGCCAGAGAGACTGCTAGACCCACTGCCATTCGAGAGGGCTTGCTGTATTTGAGTCACCGCCATGCTGATGAGATTGTCATGTCAGATATACTGTCATGTGATAGATATTGATATGCTAGAGGCACAGCCATCTGGATAAATTGTTAGGCAGACTGCTATGTGAAAGATCCTGCCATGTTAAAGAAACTGCACTATTGGAGAAACTGCTATTTCTCCAAATGTGCCCTGGTGCCTCTTGATTGGGTCCTCGTTCCACTCAGGGACAGTGGTGGAGTGTGTCCCTCTAGTTAAGCTGTGTCCCATTCTTGCCAGCACTTTCCCACAGTGTCAGACAGTGCAGCCGTCACATGAAAACAAGGAGCCAGGGCAGAGCAAGTTACACTAATCACTTCATTTGCCTGGCTCTGACTGATGTCATCATCTAATACAGAGCTCTGCAGGGGAAGTGCGTAGTGTAACTTTCCCTGTCCCGGCTCTTTGTTTACATGTGACAGTGGTGATCAGCTGTTCTGTCTGTCACTGAGGATCCTTTTAGAGGAGTTACGAATGGGACAGTTTAACTAAAAAGAAAAACACTGCTCCTGAGCTCTGGGGCCAGGGGACATATCAGCTTTGGTGGCACTGCAATCAAGGTGGCTGATAGAGGTCTGATGGGGCGCAATGTAGTTAAAGAGGCACACATATCTTCCTATTCTTGGTTCCCCAACCAGGAGACCGATCGGCTAACCTGTCACTGTCAAACATGGGTGCACACCGATGGAGGTCTGAATGGGACAAGGAAGATTCTATTAAGGTACAAAAATATCTCTGCTAGTGCACTCTATATGCCATGCTGTATGTTCTCCATTCCACACCAGCTCATTCCATATGCCATGCTGTATGTTCCCTAATCCATACCACTTCATTCCATATGCCATGCTGTATGTTCCTTTGGTCACACCGCCTCATTCTTTATGCCATGCTGTACATTCCCTATTTCACACAGCCTCATTATATATACCATGCTGTACTTTCCTATTCCATACTGCCTCACTCTATATGCCATGCTGTATGTTCCCTAATCCATACCACTTCATTCCATATGCCATGCTGTATGTTCCCTAATCCATACCACTTCATTCCATATTCCATGCTGTATGTTCCCTAGTCCACACTGCCTCATTCTATATACCATGCTGTACGTGGCCTATTCCACACAGCCTCATTCTATGTACCATGCTTTACATTCCCTATTCCACACTGCCTCATTCTATATACCATGCTTTACATTCCCTATTCCACGCCGCCTCATTCTATAACGGCCAGGCGGCCGCTATAGGGCCCCGGGGCACAGCGGGCCGCTATGGGATCCTATACTGGTGGCTTTCACTGATGGCTGAAGACGAACACGCCGCTGTTCAGATCACTGACAGTAATCTGTGCTTCAGCGTGTTCCTCTCCACAGAGTCAATGAGAGCCAGCAGCGGCAGAGGAGGAGGAGGCGGGGCCCGTGGTCAGCAGCAGGGGAGGAGGTGGGGCCCGGTGACCAAGGAGGAGGCTGGGCCCATCAGCGACCATGGAGGAAGAGGAGGCGGACAGGTAAGGAGTGCAACCAGCCCACCTGAGGGTGACCCTGCATAGCCCACCATAGAGAGTCTATGGTGGGCTCTACAAGTTGGTGGGATCTCGAGTGGGCTCTGCAAGGGGTATGACTAGAAATCAAGTACATAAAATACAAAATAAAATACAAAATTTTGCTATGGGGCCCTGAGATTTCTAGTTACGCCCCTGATGCCATGCTGTACCTTCCCTATTCCACACTGCCTCATTCCACATGCCATTCTCTAACGTCCCTATTCTACACCGCCTCATTCCACATGTCATGCTTTACGTTCCCTAATCCACACCGCCTCATTCCATATGTCATGCTTTACGTTCCCTATTTCACACCACCTTATTCAGTGAATCATGCTTGCATGTTCCCTATTCCACACCGCCTCATTCCACTTGCCACACTGTTGTACAAGTTATTTATTCACAACACCTCATTCTGTACTCTGTGCTGTACATTCTTTATTCTGCACCAACCTTATAGGCCTGGCATCTCTAGTATGTATGTGTGTCTGAGGTTGTGACCTAGTAGCTGTAGCTTATGTGTCTAGGTGTGCCAGAACTGGGAAGTCAGTGCTTGCCGTAGGCACTATTTACCATGGATACTGTGTGGCAGTGTATCTAACAGAGCAGTATTTCCAACATGGCCATGCTTCCAACATAGCAGTCACACCCACATGTCATGCTGAATATACTGCTATTTTAAACAGTGTGATACTAGACAGACTACTATTTTATTGGCATATGCCGGAGAGACTTCTATGCTGGACAAAATGCCTTGTTGAGACGGCTATGTTAAAGACTACATACCTATAACTGGCATAGCATGTTGGGATAGGTAGTTATTTGGCAGCTGGAAAATAATAGGGTTCAGAAAGGGGGCTGTTGTACAGCACCAATTACATACAGGATATGAGTAGCAGGGAATGATGAAACTTGTGGTTCTATGATAGCTGAAGAGCCCTATTTCAAGCTCAGCATAATTATAAACAACTGTAACAATTTTGTATACCTAAGATTTTTATCCATTGCTACCCAAAATCTGAAATAATATCTTTTAGATGGGCTGAGTTTTTTTGTGTGCAGGCGGACGATTACAGCAAACAATTGTACTTGTGAACCCTTGAACTGCATTCCATATTGCTGTGACCTCTTCTGCTTGCCAGTAACAATTTGCAAGCCAGTGCAATACTATGAACTCTTCTTTGTGCCACATTTTCATTCCAGGCTCTGTTGCCAGACGCGAGGTGTAACATTTATTCTGGGATGAAAAGAAAGCTCACAAGTATTTTCATAATACTCACTTGGATGAATTGCCCTGTGATATGTTTAGAAGGCTTATTTTGCACATACACAGAGAGCATTTATCAGTGTGGTCCATTACACCATTCATAAGAAAATCACGTTATTTCACATCTAAATCAGCTAAATCTAGATCATATATTATAAACCTGGTAGTTTTTATAACAGTGTATAATGTTACAGCTTACCTTGATCGGGGAGTACCATTTTCTGGAAGCATTTGACCTGCCATAGCTAGTGTTGAGAATTTTTGGTGATGGAAACTCATATTCCTGCTCTGGCATCTTCACCCTGGCATTCTTTGCTTTCTCCAGCTTAGCTCCTTCTTCTGTGGACCCCTTCTCCCCCCAGCGCACCTGTAGCCAAGAATGAAATGGTGTCAATTCTTACATCAGCTAAAGCATTGTGACATAGCCAAACCCAGGACTACATACATTTACCATTGTTTTGTGGTGCTTTGTGGAAGGTTCAGTCTAGAACTTATAGACCGTGTTTACCAGTTGCATGGGTTGCAAATGTACATGTATTGGTCACAATATAAATGGATATATTGTAGCTATGTTTTCGTTTTTGGGGGTGAGGGGGAGATAACGTTTGTTAACACCTATTGTTCTGAACAATAGACAAATACTGGTTGAGAAAGTTTTTGTCCTTACACAGGGTGAAGGGAAAGTATCTGGCAAGTCTCTGGCGGTGGGCTGAATGAAGTAAGACTTCTACAGAAAACCAGGAGTAAGGGGGATAATCTGGTATTACTGAGGGTTGGGCTTTGGGATTATGCCCCATTATGCAGAAATAAAAAACTAAGGAACCGCAAGGTATTCAAAACAGAAAATACTTATTACAGTAGAAAATTCTGGTTGGAAAGCTGGAATGTACAGAGAATAGAACTGGAGTCCTGTAAGGTGGGACTGGAAAGGGCTATACCAACCAGATGATTATCTTTTACTTTATAGTGGGGGTGAAAGAAAACCATTTGGAACATGATGTTTGCTACGTTCTCAGGTTGAGATGTATATAACTGTAATATACTCTTCAGATCACTGCATGGTGTGGATCCACAAAGGCACTACTAAACCGTTGAAGATAAGTATGTCTTGAACCACTGAGTAAAGACTGGGCCACTCTTCACCATTAGTTATCCACTCAGTGGGTGGGTACAATAGCCAGCCTGCTATTGGCTTTTGCCTTGATGAAGTACACTGCTTTTAGTATAATGTTTTATCACTTGTTTTTTGGTCATATGTTGATTAAAATGTTTTTTTTTTACAACTATTGGTTATTTACTACACTGTTGAACACAATGTATAAATGCTGGGAACTGGGAAAAGAAGTTGGTAAGGAGAATATATGCACCAAATTGAAAAATAGAGTGTGGACAATAGAATTAATTCTATAAAAAAAAAAAAAAAGACAGTGATGAAGAGAATAATCTGGTTTGGACAGAATGGATGAAAGCAGAATACCAAAGTAAGTATGTCTGCAAGGGCAATGGGAAGAATAAAAAAAGAAAGGCCCAGCAAATGATAGGTATAGATTTAAGAGGACATCTCTTAAAGTTTAGGTGTGAAAAGATGACGGTGAAAAAAGTGTCCAACAGAGGAAACTGTAAACCATCTTACGGATGCCAAGCATCTACAAGGACTGTAGCTCCAGGACTAAGCAAGTAGGTTAATGTGCTAATCAGCCTGCTTTACAGAGGTTGGACTGCGGACCTATGAGGCTGCTTGTGGGCATTGTGTCCTTATAGGGAGATTTGCCTTATATATACCTTCTGTATAAATGAAGCCAAAACATTTATTTTTATTTAGGATAGAGTAGGGAATGGTGACACCCCTTGTCAGCTTATTACCATCGGTTCTCCACTGGGAAGATTTATAGACACAATAGGTAATGAGAAAAAAATCTCTCCTAAGTGAGGGAAATGCCCTCATAGACAGTTGTCTTCAGAACAAGTGTCCCCATTGGAAGAGTTCTCCTCTAATCCTGTTCCTAGGTAAATGGTGGAATCTCACCTGCCGAATATTGTATTCTGACAACCGACACCCAGCACTGTCAGAATACATGAACAGTGACTGTAGCTGACTGGATGGAATCACTGTTTGTCAAACAATTTTTGGTCTGACTCCTTCGACAAAAGTTGATTGAAAATGCAATGCATGGCCAGCTTTACCTTAAGGTGGTCATACACCTATAGATTATCTACAGATTTTCTATGGTCAGATGGAAAAAGTGCAACAGATTCTTCCATCTACGCTACACTGTGTGGCTGGATGAATCGCCCACTGGGCCAAGCTTCAGTATCTTGCTAGTTGGCCCCGCTGGCTCTCAAAATACCTGAACAATCTGATTGGATGCAGGTATTGTTCAGGTATTTTGAGAGCCCTTGGTGGTCGACTAGCAAGATACTGAAGCTTGCCCCAGCGGGAGATTCCTCCATCCACACAGTTTAGCGTAGATGGAGGAATCTGTTGCACCTTTTCCATCTGACCACAGAAAATCTGCAGAAAATCTATAGGTGTATGGCCAGCTTTACTGACAAAGGTCATCAGGACTAATCGAGAGAGTGTATTTCCCTAAGGGGGACACCAACAGTAATAAAAAAAAATTACACTTTTGTTTTTAACCACTCACCACTCCATCCAAACTTGGATAAAACTTTTGGTTTTACACACACAAGTGTTACAATGTACAGTATAGACAATGCTCCTCAGAGCTGCCATTATCCTAATTTATGTTCTGTAATATACCAAGTAATGCAGACACACAACCTGAAACAGAAGTCAAATGAACCATGAAATACATATTTCCTTAGAGAAACACTGAGAAACACTGAGACCAGGACTAATCGAGTGGAGTGCCAGCGCAGTGCCTGTAAAAGAAGACATTTGCCAAGGAAAGCCAACAAGTGCCAAACTCTTTGGACAGCTGCGGCAGTGATCAATCAGCGGAGCAGCGAGAGTTAGAGAGGGGAGACCACCACTGCTGGATATCAAGGGGGTCTGCTTTTTTTTTTTATTGAAAATGGCAAACCACTTTGTAAATTGAACTTAGATACATTGTCACATACCTATGTAAATGTTATCCAATTAGCATAACTTATCATATTAGTATACGTTATTTAATTTAACAAATCCTTCCAGTTTTTAAAGCAGAATGTTGGGCAAAAATGCTCTTCACTCTTGCAGTGGCGCTACACCCGCACTGCAAAGGGTTACTTATGTGCTCATCTGTTTAGGTGCTAAAAAGTTATACTCAAATATACCCAATTCTCATAGCCGGCTGCCTCTAGGACCGGTCCCTGGAGTCTTGATCCCCCTCCGCTGCAGAGGTCTAAGATTTGTGAGTCATCCCATTCTAAAACACAGTGTATAGGATGTAAGGACTCCGAGGGACACATCATCACTGCAGTGGATGAGGAGACAATCTACAGCAGTGGTTCTCAACCTTTCTAGGGCCGGGACCCCTTGGTAACATTTGCCAAGTTGTGGTGACCTCCAAAGGTAAAATTTAGGGATGACGCGGCTGCTGCAGCGAAATCTGGAGGCATGGCAGGAGAACTGACACTGCTGCGCTAGGAGAGAGCCGAGGAGGACTCTCACCTTGCACAGCGACCCACGGGTTGAGAACCACTGCTATAGGCAAAGACAGGACCGGGCTCTGCAGCTGGAACTAGAAGAATTGGATTTAAAGTGTGTGGCTATATAACGTATGAGGTACATACTCCGCAGTACTGTCACTGATAGGGATGAGCTCGGGCGTGTTCGCAGCTCCACGTGCCGAGCCCGCCAGGAAGCTGACAGTGCGCAGTGCCAATCACAGGCACGGAGACATTTCCCGATCTCAGCAGCTGCGGACCGGGAAAATGGAATGCATAGCTAGAGGTGTGTTTTACATATTTTTTTGCTTGAATACATACATATTGCACCCGCCCTGAAGGAACTTCAGGTCCCCCTCTGCTGATTGTCAGGATAAGAGGGCAGGTGCAATAGCTTGCTTGCTATTGGCTTTTGCAAAGTGAAATAGCCAATAGGAATCTAGCTGTGCATTCCTATGGTGGTTTTTTTTTTCTGACTTACGACGGCCCCCGATTTTCAAAAAACAAAAACAAAAAACAGAGCAGAGAAAGATCCCGACCTTTCCGGGAGAAAGTGTTTTTCTCCCGGCGGCTGAGAGCCACTAGGCGACCCCTGGCAAATCATAATTCGACCCCTGAGGGGGTCCCGACCCACAGGTTGAGAACCACTGATCTACAGGGACCAGAGAAGCATCCAGCCGCCTCCGCGGTTTGAGTGAATATAACTTTTTTTTGTAGCACCTAGACAAAAACGACCACTTAACCCTTGCAGTGCAGGGGTAGCTCCTTTGCAAGTGTTAAGAACATTTTTGTCCTAGGTTCTGCTTGATTGCTTTAATTAAAATGTGAATGAGCTCGGCGACCATCAGCTGGTATGGGTGCTTCCCCCTGCTGGTGTCAGTATTTGTCGGGGGGTCTGGCCCCTTGGAACTTGGGAGCAATAACTGTCCCCTAGATGGTTGGAGTGCGGCTGGGGACATGGGAGGAGTTTTTTAGGAGAGGCCATATTTTGGCTTTTGGGCACCCAGAGACCCCTTCTTGGATCCAACAGTCATTAAGATTATTTATTTGTATATTATTTTGTTTATGACTTTGGTTACTGGTAACGTTGGTTTGGTTAATAAAAGGGCTGCTGTGGCCATTTAAATCCATGTCGCACAGTCTGTGTGTTTATTGGGGTTTTAACAGAGGGACGTAATCAACGAATCCATCAGTCAAGAGTGGCAGAGAAACTTGTTACAATTTTGCTGAGTCTGGGAATCGCCCTGTACATCCTTGAACTGGATACATATATACTATTATTAACTTCCCTGGAGCAATATTCAGAAGGAAGATCTGGTTCCACAATTATAACATCAGACACTCCAATAACTCTCCTGAAGGTGGCCATACACTATTAGATTTTTGGTCAAAACTTTTTGTTTCTGCCACGAACCCTCGTTTGATTATAACTCGAAAACCCCATCCAGCATAGTCAAATGTCGATTTCGGAAATCGTTCGTTAGACACAAACTCCAACCAATTTTTGACGAGCGATGGAAATAATGTCCTTTGACGCATGTGCTGTGTTCTTGCTAAGATTTTTCAGGTGTTCGATTTCCGTACAAAAGACCGTTCGTGTTCGATTTCCGAACAAAAAACGTACAATGTATGGCCACCATAATGGAGGACTGACACTGAGGGAGTGTGGACTCCATTTGACACTTTGCAATCTGGGTGTCAGTATTTGAAAATTCAGGGCTATTATTAGCTAGGTTGGGCAGACTGTGAGATGGGTCTTCTTTGGATAGCATAGAACAGCTTTTCTCAGCCAGGCTGCCATGGCTCTCTCTCTCTACATATATATTAGGGATGCACCTATACCGATACTAGTAATGGTGCCAATACCGAGTATTTGGGCGAGTACTCGTATGTTGTACTCAACGGGCAGTGCCGTAGAGGAAGACAGCTTCTCGGCCAATCAGCATTGATCTGTTGGAACAGTCGGCTTGATGCTGATTGGCTGGGAAGCGAGCTTTCCAGCCAATCCGCATGGAGCCAACTTCCCATTCAATCAGGAAGCCAGAAGGTGGGGAAGGTGACTCGATGCTGACTTTCCCGACCAACTACAATCGAGCCAGCCAAACATCATGGAACCGGCTTCCCAGGCAATCAGGAAGCTGGGCGGCCTGTCATTACCCACCGCTCGGCTTCCTGATTGTCCAGAAAGCCGGCTCCATGCCAGCGGAAGCAGCGGTATCGGTACTCAGTATTGACGAGTACCGAAAGCAAAATATCAGTACTCGTACCTGATACCAAAAAGACGGTATCGGTGCATCCCTAATATACTGTATATATATTTATGCTATTTTCTATCCAAGGCACTAGATCAAGCCACACAGTATATGGTATGGGCTATGCAAGAAATATTTAAGCTACCATTTCTAAACTCTGCTTTTTATAATGCTATCTGCATACTTGTCATGCTGATCCTCTGGCTTCTTTGTTTTCTGAGTCACATACTCTGAAGAACACGTGCGCAAATAGGGAGTTCTAGGTTTATTTATTTCATGCTTGTTCTGGATCTGTCATTCCAATTACTGGAGCCCAAAACAACTAGTAAACTGGAAGGTCTTTGCTCTAGTTTTCATGAGTTATTTTTAAACAAACGTTGGCATGATATGTGACACACATACTGGGGATAATAGTATTATAGATCCAGTAAAACCAGAAACATTTTCAGAAGTTATATTCTAGTTCAAGTCTTTGGTACATCAAAGTGGTCAGGCACCAGGCACCGTGCTCTCTTATTCCAAATTGTTGACACCTCCCTTGCTATGGAGCCAGACATGAGTATTATGCAGTTCCCTTGGTGGGAAGATTCCAGGGATAGTGAGGAGAGACAAACTAATTGTTGGAAGCATTCTCAGATCATGAATTTAGAAAAAAGGAGCATATTGCTTCAGCTTAGTTTCAGGGGGCAGTGGGGAGTCAGGCATTCCTCTAATTTCCCTCTCATGTACTATTTTCAGTACAGGTTTTGGTGAAGAGAGGTAGCTGGTGAATGATCATGTCTTTTAAGATAGAGATCACAAAAGGGGCAAGGGGGCACTTCCTCCCACCTTCCCCCTATTTATTTTATAAATTAGCAGTTATAATTAACCCCCTCACTACAGTTTTTCATTTAACTATATCATAAGATTGGTTATCATGTATACCCATTCTGTAAAGAACCCTTTGGCATCCTGCTACTATTGAATAATAGTGTCTCATGGGATGCACATGTCTGTTTATGCCCTGGTGTACAAGCAGACAGGCTCTTATTTTCTCTTGTCGCCTATTGCCATAATTCGAGGCTGACAGAATTGGGGAAACCAACATCAGGGCCGTAGCGAGCTTTACATCACTTCCTGTTCATTCAGGAGTTTCTGAATGGGTAGTAGCACTCTGCACAGAGGCTTCTCCCCATTCATAACTGGTTGATAGAAAATATTTTCTGAATGAATGGGAAGCCTCTGTACTACTATCATCTCATTTTGCTGCTATTATCATTTAATTATTATTAATTATATAATTATT